GTGCACGTGTATGTTATGTGTGTGGGGGGGGGGGGGGGTTGTGCAGTGGGTGACACCACTAATGATTTACCATCATTTTGAAGTCACCCACTCTGAAAAGTCAGGCACTCAATCATGGACTGAGACCCCGACAGTTGCACAAGAGAGGACCCGGTGGCATACCTGATCACTCTGGATGAATGTTCCACATCTCTTTGCCGGCGTCCATCACCAAGATGACCGCCGGCAGGTGAGCGCGCGTGACGTTATTACGCATGTGCGTGATGACATTGTGCATGCGTGATGATGCCCCAGCAGGGTGTAACCCAGGGGACGCTTTAGCTGAAACCATGGTTGGGGACACCCCTGTATGGTCTGTTTGCAAACCCCCTTTCTAGTATGGACAGGAGAAGAGTCTGCAGGAGTCAGAGCATTGCACCCACCATCTAATGATCACGGTTGCGATGCTTTACTGACTCCTATGCAAAACAATTATAATAAATGCACATTTTTTCTTTGAAGATGAAGTGTGCATTTATTATTATATATACAAAAAAGCTGGAAATTCACGGGGCAAAAAAAAAATGTAAAAAAACATATTCTTAACATTTGTGAAAAACATGAATATTTCCCCATGTTTGTCACTTTAAAAGCAGTGCAAGTAAAGAAAAATACATGTTGATCAGTCAGCAATCCGGTAAGCGCCTAACTTCCTGTAGGAAGCTGACAACTCCGTCTCTGCGGCATTGAAACACCAGTACAGACCTATTTGTATGGAGATGAGAGAGGGAGGATCTCTGTAGTCCAGCAGGGGAGAACTGGGTAGGATTGACAACACTGCTCAGTATCTCAGTGCAGCAGAGTCAGAGTTGTCAGTCTGTCACAGGAAGTTAGGAGCTCAGCAGATCGACAGGTTTTTTTTCTGCACTTTCATTGCTTGTGAAGTGACAAAACATGAGGAAATGCGTATGTATTGAAGAGATGTACCGAATGTCTTTTTCCTTTTGCCCATACATACACTTCAATTCCAAAGTTCATAATATGTTTACATTAGGTGTTCTTTGCCATCTGTCAGGACTGAGGGCAGATAATAGCTCTGCTATATGCACATATTATGAATTGCTGATACCAGAAGAAAAACTAACAAATCTCACCAAACAAGCCAGGAGATCGGCAGCGATCAGCATGTAGAAGACGTAGTTCCAGCCTTTGGAGGAGAGGATGGAGGCCAACGTTGGTCCCAGAGCAGCACCTGAGGTACACACAATTAAAAACATTGCATTAAACTCATATACTGAACATGGAACCAGTCAAGGTCCCATAGTCTTCAATGCAGAGACGATTCCATCTACAGTGGCAGGGTGGTGGCTGGAATACCCATGATCCTCTAGCTGGATTCAAGGCTTGCAGCTTCACAGCCATTCTTGACCATCTCAGGTCCACAGAAAGTCGTCACAGGAGGAATGCACATTTCTCATGCTTGGAATCTCACAATACCCCCAAATGCAAAAAGTTTTAGTTTGCCAGTCCTGACCGCCGATACCAGATATCTACAAGGGCACCTGAGCTTCAATCCCATACCCACTGCCCCAGACTTAACATCCCCAGCCCCCATTACTAACCCTACAGCTAACATGTCCTCCCATTACCTCCTATATCTAAAACCCCAATACCTAGAACCCTCCTCTGCAACCGCACCACCAACTCTTTAACCTCCCTGACTCTTTAACCCTTCCCACCTTTTATAGCATGTGCTTGCTTAAGGTGATGGGGAGGAACAGGGCGGTTGAATAACATCAGGCAGGCCCTCTGCACCTAGGAACAGGGGCCCGGTGGCAGCCACAACCTCTGCTGCTCCATTTCTAATGGCTCACATCTACAGTATGTAAAACAGACTTGCAGTGTAAAAACTTCCCTTGTAGCTTTCTGTTAACCCCGTGTATTCCAGTGCATGTTACAGGGGAAGCTTTACTCTAGGTTTAAAGGTGAATGTGACCACCCGACTCACCTATAGATCCAGAACCGTCAATGATGGCAGTGACAGTGGACAGGGCCTTAGCATTTCCATGTAGAGACTCATGTGTTCCCTGCAAATTAAAATGTGAATGAAGACTTTAATAATATTATGGATGAGCAACACAGCCCATGGCACATTCTGCTGCTGGGATGCAGAGCTTGGGCCATAATAAGAATAAACGACATTGTGTTACCCAAAAAATACAAACTCAGTGGCCTTGGGACAAGAGTAAAAGCGTTCCCATTATGAAGCCTATTTTCAGAACTGGTTAGTGGATTGGAGGAACGGAATGTCTTACCAGATCAGCGGACACGGCAGTTGTGATGAGGGAATACGGCCCATTCACCAACATCCCACAGATAACCAGCATGGCTGCAAAGAGGAGATGCGACCAGTTATAACGTGTAACAAGGATGAAAGAGGAAATGCGACCAATGATACAATGTAACAAGGACCAGAGAGGATATATGACCAATGATACAATGTAACAAGGACCAGAGAGGATATATGACCAATGATACAATGTAACAAGGACCAGAGAGGATATATGACTAAAGATACAGTGTAACAAGGACCAGAAAAAAAAATTATGACCAATGATGCAAAGTTACAAAGACCAGAGAGGAGATGGGACCATTTATAACATGTAACAAGTACCAGAAAGGCAATAAGACCAATGATACAGTGTAACAAGGAACAGGGAGGAGATACGACCAATGACATAATGTAACAAGGAACAGGGAGGAGATATGACCAATGATACAGTGTAACAAGGAACAGAGAGGAGATATGACCAATGATACAGTGTAACAAGGAACAGAGAGGAGATATGACCAATGATACAGTGTAACAAGGAACAGAGAGGAGATATGACCAATGATACAGTGTAACAAGGAACAGAGAGGAGATATGACCAATGATACAGTGTAACAAGGAACAGAGAGGAGATATGACCAATGATACAGTGTAACAAGGAACAGGGAGGAGATATGACCAATGATACAATGTAACAAGGAACAGGGAGGAGATATGACCAATGATACAATGTAACAAGGAAAAGAGAGGAGATATGACCAATGATACAATGTAACAAGAAACAGAGAGGAGATATGACCAATGATACAATGTAACAAGGAGCAGAGAGGAGATACGACCAATGATACAGTGTAACAAGGAACAGGGAATGGATACGACCAATGATACACTGTAACAAGGAACAGGCAGGAGATATGACCAATGATACAATGTAACAAGGAGCAGAGAGGAGATACGACCAATGATACAATGTAACAAGGAGCAGAGAGGAGATACGACCAATAATACAATGTAACAAGGAACAGGGAATGGATACGACCAATAATACAATGTAACAAGGAGCAGAGAGGAGATACGACCAATAATACAATGTAACAAGGAACAGGGAATGGATACGACCAATAATACAATGTAACAAGGAACAGGGAGGAGATATGACCAATGATACAATGTAACAAGGAGCAGAGAGGAGATACGACCAATGATACAATGTAGAAGGAACAGGTAGGAGGACATTGCAGGACCAACAAAATGGAGAATGACTCACCAACTGTGGTGGAAACATCTGTCTGGCCAAACTGGTTATAAATGAACAGCTGGAAGAGGAGAGGAGGAGAGAGGGTTAATAGACACAGACAGTATGCTGAACATCCGAAATCTGAGATTTTTGCATAAACCCAATTATCTTCATAAATTACAATAATTTGTTAATTTGATTGACACACAAATCATACATTTCAGGTCCTGAATACTGCACAAGAAAAAACATTCCTTCAAAGATGGCGATACACATTGCAATCTGATTGTACAATGCCCATTTAACCACTTCAGGATTTTGGAATTATTATATAGGCATTCTCTAATGGAATGAGAATATTAATGGCCAAAAAAGAATTGCTGGTCAGTGGGAAGAATGGTCCTTACATTGGTGGTCAGTGGGTGGAATGCTTCTTATGTTGATACTCAGTGAAAAGAATCCCCCTTACAGATAGCCAAAAAGATTGATATCAGTGGTAACTTATCTTGGGTAGAAATGGCTAATTGCTCAAGGACCCCCTATGAACCTCTGGAGGTTCCACAGAACCCTGGTTGAGAAAGGCTGACATAGATAATAGAGGATGACGTCCATGTGGAGGAGGGAGCTGGGAAACGGCCGCACAATTTTCTGCAATCATTTTCAAGCCTGAACACTCACCATCGGGGCAGTTAATATCAGCATGACAGCGCAGGGGATGGCTCGTCCTCCAGTGTAATCAGATATTGCTCCAGCAAGGATCCCACCTACAAACACAATACACACATTGATCACAACAAGTCATTAATAGTGTGATGGAGATACTCCGGCATCCTCTTTATTAGTGATGAAAACTAAAAAAATTGGGAAGCAATCCGGTGCAGCAAACCAAACGGCACCGAGTATACCCCGCAAAGGCCACATATGAAGAATTTATGGTGGGGGAACATCCAGCAAGACAAAAACTAAAAAGGTATGTAAACCCCAACAATCAAATCTCTTTTATTTGCACGATTTGTCTGTTAAAAGTACTATTGACCATGTTTTGTTTTATCTGTTTGGTAAGTGCACAAAAATATCTGTTGATCCTGCCAGAAATCTTGTGAGCTGATATCTTCCTGTGTTCTCTGTTTTCAGCTGCACACTCATCGGTTACATTGCTTTCAGCTATCTCTAAGACTACATAACCCCTACCTATTTATGTTATGGAGAGATATCCTAGGGTGACAACACTGTATGTATGTATGTATGTATGTATGTATGTATGTATGTATGTATGTATGTATGTATGTA